GGACTTGAACCCGTACTTCCACTCCCAAAACGACACCATCGACACCATCGATTTCAACCACATGGCCGATTTTACCAAGCTCTCGATTGCGTACGTTGTCGAGCTGACTCAGGACAGCGCCACGGCATGCTAATCACCTCGTTATTCCATCGTTGTACCATTCTACGGGCTAGCTTGCATGCATTGACTCCGAAACTGATTCGCGTTAACAATGAATGCCAATCAACCAGACTGATTCATTGCTTTTGGAAAAGTAAATCCATTTTTCAACTGCCTACTTAAATTGAACTTTAGTGTCCAACGCAACCAAAAACGTATGGCAAGCTGTGTGGCATGACGTGGCATGACGCTACCAACAAAACCGATTGCACACTTGTAGTACCCTAACAGAATCCACAACTTTACAGTTAATCTGTTAGATAGGAAGTTGTACTTACTCTGATTAAGACACCCAAGGGCAGGTTTTTTTAGCTGATTTGTGTTAGGCAAAATGAACTAGAAAGTGTAGCCTTCTACGTCCACATGGCCAACCCCGAGTCTGTCGGGACTCCAGAGAGCCCAGCAATGGCCTTCGCTTCGACTTTGTCGTGGTCCACGACAAAGAGGTGTACTCCCACGACTCGTTGAAGTACCTCTCCAGTTTCCGAAGTGCAGGGCCCTTTGCCGCCTTGACCTCGGTATTGTTGTCCAGGGCTCTTTGCACAACGTTAAAGTCCAAGACGAAGCTCCCAGCAGCCCCTCGACGTCCGCCATGGAACGCTCTCCAAGGCTCGGAATCCCCAGCCCCTTGAAAATACCGGCATCCAATGAGGGGACTATTCGTGAGTTTATGCGAAGTTACAAAATCCCACCAAATTATTTGCCCATCTACTGTATCACCATGAGAACAAATTCCCTGATTAAAACAGTACGTACTACTGTTTCTATTCTCAGAAATACTGTTTCGATGATGGAATTGCAGTATCCAGGCAGATTATTTGGATTATTGCCCTATTCAATACAACCGGCTAATCGGTAGTTATCCGAAAACAATTCCGACGGGAGAGCTACTACATTAGAGCATCTGCACCGGTGCCTATTTGACCCCATTAACTTGTTCGGATACGCAAGTTACCAGCGCCGTAAGGGTAAATTTTACTGGCCTGGTTTTGATTTCGCACCGAAGTCAGTAAAACAGATTACACTTGCTTCGTGATGCATTCGACTCTCCAGTGCATGAAGAGACCGTCACCAGTTCTTACCGTTATCCTCATGCAGCAAATCAGCTTGTCATTCACAATACCTCTGTGTGTATGTGGGACTACAGTTGTAGGCTGCATCACGGGCGCTGCTGCACATGTGCGCGCTCGGGCGATAGTGAGCTTGAAAATACCGCGTAATTTCGTTTCACAGTTGTACGCTGCAGCTACTCGGGCGTAGAAACGACTTGCAGTTTGATCATTTCCGACGATTGGATCGAGCGAGGCACTCAGCCATGTGCGCACTTGCTCATGTGGTGTGAAGTTTTGGGAGCGTTCCTTCATTGCCTGTATTGCCTGTATTGCTTATAATATATTATAGTGTTATGATGTATAGTGACGTTTATTCGGGTTTATGAGATAATTAAGTAACCTTTTGCGCCTACAGCTAGCGGACGTCACATACGCCGAACGTTAGACGTATGAGTGCTAAAAAATTGGTGGGGCATCTGGCAACGATCTGTTTGGTCAGCACCTTTCACTGGGTTTTGTTCGCGGCGGTGGAGCGGACGGCCTGCAGTTCGGCGAAGCACGTAAGCAAGTAAGCGCTAGAGCTCGTCGGGAACGGCCTTGAGTTAAGCGTTGGACGCGAGGCGTCGACGAGATGGGGTGGCCGGACCAAGGGCCAGCTACGGAAAGCTGAAGCACCGGAGCATGGTCTTGTTGGCAGCAATGTCGATGGCACACCGGGGGATGTGTCCAAGGAGGCCCCTGTGGGAGCAGGTCCAGGTGCCACAGTTGTTGAGCAGCACTGGGAGCACTTAGCCGTTGTACAGGCGCAGCCGTGTCGTCTCGTGGATGACGTCGCGGCGGATCTAAAGGCACGACATGTTGTGGAAAGCGACGCAGGCCAGGCCTTTCCGGTGGGATACGTCGGCGTAGTCACCAAGGAGCTTGGAATAGGGAACAAAGCCACGAATCAATCGAGTCACAGATGAATCTGTTTGGCCAGTTGACTTACTGGTGTCCAGACTCCAACAGGTTGTCAACACCACATCGAATGGCAGCGAGCTGCCGGATCAGTCCTTACCCAAACCAACCGAACCCGCATCGGTCCGCGAGACGGCTCACCAACCCGGTCGCGCCAGACGCCATCCCCCGGCGCCACAACCGGGGACTCAACCCAAACGCCCACCCTCGACGCAACCCGAAACTGATGCTCAACACCCAAACACTCCTTCGCTAACTCGGTACGAATTCGACACCCACTTACCAAGCACCGCGACACCCCCACGGGTTCCACATAGACGAAGGCTCACTCATACTGCAATCACCCCACCGCTGCTGTCCCGCACCCTACACACAACCCAACGCCATACGAGACACACATCCTCGACCCCATCCTGGACGGACGCCCCGCCCTGGACCAACCAGCGAATTTTCTGAAGCAAATACTAACTTCAGACGAAATGGTTCTCTTCGGAGACCAAAATACACATGCACTATGGTTTCCCTCAACTATCCCCGAAAGCATTTATGAAGCTATCCAACGAAATGCCAAGCCCTCCCCTCGCCAAACTGTTATTTTCCTGTTTTCCCACGCAGAACGTGGCAGAGAATGCGACAGCCTGCGTCAAGACCCGCAGGGCCCCAGGCGGATGCTGTAATTCAACTCCAACACCAAAGATGCATTGATTTCTCTCAAATCCAATGACCCTTCGACAGTACGGAAATCCGGACGACCCCGCCTCCACCACCCAACCAGAAGAAGCGCAACGCATCATGGCGTACAGCTTCAGTCTCCTTCACGTATCCCTCGACATTCCTAGCATCCAACTCTGGAAGCTGCTCACCTTCCTGGACGTAGGCATACTCAGTCTGCAACGTGCTCAAAACGTGGGCAGTGAGGGACTCGACATGAATAGCTTCCTCGTCGTCACCGACAGTGAGAAAATTCCCCAACAACTCGTCAATGTAGGACGCATCACCGTCAGACCGATTCATGTCGGCCTTTTTCACTTCCAAGATATCGGCAACATGCCGTGCAGGAAATGCACATCCCTCGACCACCAAATCGAGAAATGTACCACCGCGACGACCCAACAAGACCGAGTCATCATCATACCCACGGACCACTGGTCCAACCTAAGCGGCCACAACATTACCGGCAATCCCACCTTCACTGGCGTACTCAAGAACGCAAATTTGTTCCCCCGCAGTCCACTGAAACCCAGACTATCACTACAGCCATCACCCATGAAACCGGAACCCAGGCCGCCATGTTGGTAGACTATGGCACGACGACGGAACGACGCACAGTCGCAGAAACCGAACCCACCACAACCGGCGTCGAGCAGCTCCCGCGACCGACATCGACAGCTTTCCCCGTGAATCCCGGCCCCATACGGAACCACCACCCCTCACCGTGCGTGCAAGGACCAAATCGACATGGACATGGATGCAGCTGAGGTCACTGTGCTGCGGGTGTCTCCGCGCCCATGGTCCTCACACCGCGATCAGGCATCGCCTGATCCAACCCAGCCGGCCCATACCGCTGATCTCAACTCCGCGAGTTCTCCTGGAGGCCAACAAGCGCCATGTACGGCTCAATCGTAGGATTTCCTGAACTCGTCGATACCGGGGTTTACATTATTCCCGATTGACGAATGCAATCCGGACACTAACATCGCGAGCAGCGAGCACGACTGGGAAATGACTGACCAGCTCCACTTCCCTCGCATGAAACAACCGGTCCCCATCTCACCACCAGCCACCACCCTGCCGGCTACCCAAACGGCACGTAATGAAAGTGAGGAAGGGCACCGAGTCCACCGAAACCCAGCTACTCAGTCCAATCTGGGGATTGCGTACGAGGGCCGAGTTCGGCGCCATGGTTTCGTCCTCCGTTTCCACGGTGACGCTCGGTTGTCCTACACATGTGGGTACTTCAACAAGGGTAGGGGCGACTGGCGGGAGGTGCCGGTCAGTGAGACTTCGGATACCCATATCTTTCGTGGATAGTTGACGCCGCAGACCCGCACACACCCAATTGCGACATGGAAGCAGATTCAAACATGTGGGGCGACTCCCAATTTGACAACCAGTTATCGACCGGATGTAAATATGGAGGACCTGATGGTCGCCTACCTACAAACCACCATGCATGATCTCACCTCTCCCCCCAACAACGGCCATGATATCGCCCAACCTAACGCCTGCTTATCCATCGACCTCACGACCGAGGACCCGCTCAGCGGCGCTTGGCTCGACACCGCATCAGACGGTCCACACTCAACCACAGTCACGTACCCTCCCGACCATACTTGGGCCACACCAATGGCAAGTCCCACCCCACTGACAATGCTGCATTCAGGCACTGTACTGCGCCAAAGCAAGCTGATTGGACATTACTCTCCCTCCACTCCCAGATGGTTACGACAGCACTACGTGAATTAAAGGGCAGCCTCCGACAGATGGTTACAACTGACGAGGCCCTGCGTTAACACTATCACCCACGCTGGGTCGAACACCTTTCTAACCCCACCAAACCCTCCCAATCCACCTTAGACGACTATATCTCAGCTTATTTCACACGGATAACGGTGGCGAATCCTGCTGCTGGCATGGATCCCCTGGACTAGGGTGGCTTTCCGGACATAGCGGCGGTGGCAGCCTGTTGGGGGTACCCGGTCTTCCTCCTCCAGGAACAACCCGTCCCCGACACATGGTGGTTGTAGAAGGTGAACTACACCCCGGGCGCCCCACATATCGTCAAGGAGATACTGTGGACAGAAGTACTCGCAAGCCTCACGGATTCCTCCGTGATGCTTGTGCATCGCAATGACAACCATTTCGACCCCATGTACTACTTCCCTCCATCCCTCATGTGTGATCCATCCGAACCTCAAGCGGAACCCCGCCCCCAAACTGAACTGGCCCCACCCTGGAGCTGGCCTATCTCTCTACCACCTCACGAACGCCCGCCACCACCCATAGTGGCCAAGCCCAAAGCCCGCACAAAAGACACTCCCGTTAGCCCTCCCCAAACGCATCACCACATGGATGCGCGACAAGAATACGAAGGGTTCCAGTATGTGGTACCCACATAGACGGGGCGCCCATATCGAACCCTTCATGGCAGATTTTCCCCACCTCGCGCATGAAATGCTGTGGCAATTGGGCAACCCCGAAGCCATCATCAGCAGGTGCAGTACCCCAGCGATTTTAAACTGGGGACACTACACGCTCCTCGACAACTGCAACGTAACGATGGCAACTGCCACCATGCTAGCACCCTATCTCTGAGTTCACATTCTTGCCACATAAATTTTGCTGAAAACCACAGAACAGACGCCACCTGTCAACTCATGTGGTGAGGTGGAATCTCGAGTGATGCGGCTGTGCATCAAGGTACTTAAAAAGGGAATTGTAATACATCTGAATTGTTGGCATACACTGCGTAGCCCGGGGAAATCAATAATGGGATGGTGGCAAGGGATACAGTAAAAGAAAAGTTCGTACGATAGGAATGAACGTACATGTACAGTGACTGTACATGTCCATAACTGTTGTTGGCGAAATAATGGTCCAGCCGAAAGGCAACTTCAACAACACCGTATATTTGGTGTTGTTGAATTTTCCTGTAATGTAATATATATGTGAAGTGTATGTGTGCCCCGGAAGTGCTCAAAATGAATGGCTCCAAGGGGCCACAAGAATTATGCCGATAACTCAGGATGTAGGGTGAAGTTGTGGCAGCACAATGGCTCGTTGCGCTGGCCAGGGGCAGTTCAGTATGTAGTATGTGTGCGGAGGATATGCGTGCCAGAAGTAAGCAAGCTACAGTATATGTGTACCCCGCGAGTAGCTGAA